TGTGTGCCTCCAAGCCATGACTGATTGCTTGGGCTGGAAGTGTTCCTTTAAGGTTTTCTTGAGGTCGGAGTATGATACCGTTTCCAGCGAGTCTGGGGCGATTAAGCTCTCGGCGATCTCAAAGGCGTCCTGCCCACAAACGCACAACAATGTGGCAGCCTTTAAGCCTTCCTCTCGAATCTGGTTTATGCGAAAATACGTCTCGACTCTTGCCACATAAGATTCCCACCTCTCGGGGTGAGAGACGTCGAATTCCGCTAAACGCCCAACCTTAGCCATGATCGATGATCAAGTTTTCTTCTTCTTCAGCCGCACGCACCCTCCAGCGATTTCGTACTGGCAGGATAACGCTGACATCCACGCCGTTTCTCTTCCGGACTTCTTTGGGTGAGTCTTCTAGCTTTTCTTAGCTGTAGAGACTGAATCCCACCTTCGTCGCCAGTGTTAAGTCCGGAGAATAATGGCGCTTGAGACGAATCATCTCCAACAAGTCTTTATTGTTTGCTCCACTCTACGAACAACCCGAGCAGAGGCACGCAGGCCTCTATTTATACCCTCTGATCCCCAGGCAAGTTCAACCAATCATGAGGCGGGCTTTTCCCACCTTGCGCATGCGCACAAGGCTGGCGCTGCTCAGTCTGGTCCCGGGCAGCTTCTGCAAATGCCCGGGACTCTTGCAACGTCCCGAGCCTGCCTCTTGCAGGCTCAGGACACAACATCTCCATGCCATAAAAAGCTTTCCTAATTGATTTGTTTGCTGATCACAGCACCATCAGCACTTTGCAGGTGACCAGCTCTCCACCCTTCATTTGTAATTCAAGGTACAACATCTAAACAGCAAATCAAATGATGACCCCAGAGTAAGGCAGAGCTAGCTTACACGAAAGGCCTGAATCTTGATTTTTTTCACTCGCTCTGGGCATGTACCTTCACTGATCTACTTTTCCCCCTTATTTGGATTGGTCTTGCACCCTTTCTAGTCTTCTCTGACAACTGAGTAGACACATGTTATCCCCCTTCTCTATTTTCATCCCATCAGCCCAATTCTTGGCACCCCGTGAAACAGAGCTCAGCCATCAAACAGCATTTGTTTTGTCGTTCCAGGCTATCAGTTTTTATTAGCGCAACAAATGCACAGTTGTTACCCATTTGTCACACTTGGTTCAGACGGCTGCCCTCATGGTTATGCTTCTGTTCTGGAGATACTGAATTTGAAGATTCGTCTATTTTTTTAATATCTGGGAAAGCATTATTCAGTTTGGTTACTTGATTATGTCACCTGTTTAAGCTTTCTCATTTGGAAATAGCAAGAATTTGGGGCTCTTGCAGGCAATTTTGGCTCTTTTCCTATAATCTTCCATATCTTTTATTTTATGGAAACATAAATCTGCTGGTATTACTCTGCATAATTGCTCCATAGAAAGTAAACCATTTCTTCTGGCCTTAAAGTGGACAACTAGCTCAACAGTTTACCATGCAAATACAATCTTTATGGTCTGTAAACCATGATTTATGGTCTAGCATATTGAGTGAACCCGACCAATTTGGCTTATTCAGTAAACCATGATTAAATCAAGCATGGCTTTCAGTCTACAAGTATATCATAGGAAGTCTTGAATTTCCTTCAAGACAATTGCTTGTCCTATCCTTGTTTCCTTGTAAGATTTCACGTTTCATCTTCTTACCATAGCAATGCAGTTAAAGAGATGGGTCCATCTTAAATCTTCTCTTATTTTCTTCTGCCTCTTTGGAAGTTTTCTGGAGTAGAAGCTGGTTATGCCTGTTTCTGTGGCCATGAAGGGGATATCCAGCACAGCCAGCAAGTGAGTGCTGTGGAATGTGATCAAGTCTGCTTTGGCAAGTCCAGTGAACTGTGTGGAGGAGATGGCCGGATCGGCATATACAATGGTAAGTGTGAGAATTGGATCCATATCTTTGGTAAAGATGTACCTGGTACAGCTAAATGCCTATAGATGAAACTTCCTTCCTCTGCATATTACACATTGAAGGCCATCCAGTGAAGTTGACGGGGTTTAGAAATAACTTCAATACACTTTTAGAAAGCCAAAGGCAAGTTATCCTCTTATTCAAAGATTTGGAATCCAAGTCACCCTAAGTCAGGGGACCACAACCCCTGGGCTGTGGCCCACTACCGGGCCTTGAGCTGTTTGGAACTGGGCCGCAGAAGTGGCGGGTGAGCACGCACACACATTGTTTGAGCAGCAGGTGAATGTGTGCATGTGCGCTCCATTTGCTCGAGCAGCAGGCAGGCTTGCCTGCTCCTGCAAATGGAGTTGTGTGTACGTGCTTGCCCGTCGCTGGTGTGGAACCATCCCCTCCCCTCCACCGATCCACAGAGCGGGAAAGATTGAGGGAACTCTGCCCTAAGTGGCATACTGAACTACCTTAGACTAGGGGTTTTTCAGAAGTTTCATATTGTTTATAACAGTATTTCTCAGCAGCTTGAAAATGTACAGATTTAGACTTCCAGAATTCCCCAGCCAGCATTTGGGAGTTGAAGAACTGAATCTTCAAACTGCCAAGGTTGAGAAACCCTGTTCTATGCACATACTGAGGCCATGTTGACGTATACAGTAGGTTAAGGTCTGAGATTGTCATTGCCCCTCCCTGTGTCCCCATGATACTGTGAACTCTCTGTGAGGCTTTGAAAAGTGATCCAATTAACTGCTGGCTCATTTCCTGCTCCAGAGAAAACATTTCTCCTTGTTTCACTTCCTAAATGCTGGAATTTCTCTCTTCTTCCCTTGCCGCCATTCTATAGTTGCACCATGCAAGGGCTGGACAGGATTGTTTTTTGTTTTTTTTAAATTCTTGTGAAAAGGAAAATGTGAAAAGGAAACAAGGAAGGTAGAAGATTGCCAGCTTGCTGCCTTTTCTCAGTCTCTTTCATTAGTCAGTTGGAGGAAGTGCCAGTCAGCTGACAGGATGGAAGGTGAAATCCTTGGTGAATCTGTCACACTGGCATAAGAGAAGGTTTAAGTTGGACACTGGCATGAAAACACTGCTTACATTTGGAGGGGTAAATCAGTGACTATAGAGAAGAGGATAAAGTTCCATCAAAATTGAGTGGGATGGAATCCTGAGAAGAGACATTCATAGATTCAGAGGCATCTGAGGCAAGAGAGGTAGGCAGGGTGAAAAAAAATTGACAAAAACAGTGTCACGCTATCATGATGAACTCTTTCGTGTGCCCTGTGTGACCTTGCACACACCTGCAAAAGGAGATGAGCTTGCCTTGTAGAAGGTGCAACTTTGTTTAAGATGACAGCTTCCAATCCTGCAGACTCTTCTGCGTAAAATGTGTTTTCTCTAGTGGAAACTGATGCTGCAGCGTAACAGCTTTTATACCTGGGATTAGAAAACTTCCAGTATTAACGATGTAGGGATGTGCTTGAGTTCATATTTTGCCATAGAGAGTAATAAATATTTGCAAGTTTCATTTGCAAGTGCCATAACCCTTATTATACAAATAGGAAGGCCATTTTAGGAACGAGCTCTTGCACATTTTTTGGTATAGGAGAGAAGGATGGTATTTGCTCCCATCCTGCTAGTTTTATGTTCTCAACATCTGGAGTGCATTAATTTATTTTAACTAGAGTTAGTTTTCAAGAACTTTGCTTTGTCTTCTTGTTTATTTAAGATGCAGTTGGGCTCTTTTCCTGATTTCCTGATTTTGACTCTGACAAAGTCTGTTCGCAACTTAGTATTATTTCCATTTTAATTAGTTTTTAACAACCATAACAAGCTGGGATCTATATAGGAGCTCCTTCCACGTGTGAGGCAGCGCACTGACAGTTTCCCATAATACAATTACAACTTAGAAGGCACATGACAAACAACAAGGCAGTGTTTGCTTTGTTTAGAATATGTGCGTGAGATGCACACTGAGCAATTGTGGGAGAAGTGTGTGGGAGAAGTGGGAGGTGCAAAAAAAAAAGGTTGTGTGTTTTTTATGACTAATAGCTCTGTAATTGCAAACTCCAACTTGGCCTTTTAAATCTGTTTTTCTCTTTTGAATTGTTCTTTGTTCCTTTAAATGTAATAGTTTTATTTTAAAAAGGAAAGGAAAAAAGTTCTTCTAGCTGTATCTTCTTGAGGCCGTATGATTAGGAGTGCTACTATCTATCATTTCCAGAGTCCTTCGCTTATTCTGCTGTCAGTTTTATACCCTCACCCTAGTCCAGTCAATTTCATATGTCTTTGTCAGTTTTACTATGCTAACTAGACTAAGAAATTTGAAATTAACTCCACTTTACCCCAAAATATCCTAAAAGTAAAATCAATAGTACTGCTTTGAAATATCATGTGTTATATACAAATATTTTGACCAAAAAACCCCAACTAGCCAGAAGGGTGGAACAGTTTTGATTAAAAAGAAAAATAACAGGACAATTGGAGCCTTCTTTGCATGGCTCATCAAATTAAGCAGCTGAAAACACCAATATAGATAGCCTTTGATTTAAAACCACCATTGGGATCAGAATTTCTATTGCTAAGCAAGGCAGTTGTTAAGTGAGACACACTTGATTTTACGACCATTTTTGCCATGGTTGTAAGCAAAGCACAGCAGTTTTTAAATTAATCCAGCTTCCCCCATTGGCTTTTCATTTCAGTTGGGAAGGTCACAAATGGCAATTACATGACTCAGGATAGTGCAACCATGATGAATACATGCCAGTTGCCAAGCACCTGAATTTTGATCACATGACTGTAGAGATGCTGGATGTTGCATATGCAAGGACTGGTCATAAGTCACTTTTTTCGGTGCCATTATAACTTTGAACGGTTGCTAAATGAATGGTTGTAATTCAAGGACTACCTGTACCATACTTGAAGGTCTGTCTCAAGAGCTGGCATATATTGGCATAAATATTGGGGGAGGGAGAATCACATATTATTTGGTCAATCCCTTTGGCTGGTCATTGGGGACTCAGGAGTTGTTTACTATATAAATAGGAAAGGTAGCTTAAAATGATCCAGCTATTTCACATTTAGCTCTAAACAGTTCCAGATTTGATTAGAATTAAATTAAATTAAATTAACTCCTCCTGGACAGTTGTCACCCATGCAACTAGATTGAGGAGGAATTAATGGCCAATTCTGAGGTGACACCCTAAAGAAGAGTAGATTTTCTTTAGCATCATCATCTCTGACCACCTCATAATCTCTGACAGCGTTCTGATTTTCACACAGATATACCTGTGACTACACGGGGGATTAAAATGAGGCCCCAAAGGATGAGAGTGAGTAGAACATACCCTTGTCCAGCTTCTCCACAGTCAGACAATCTAGTTGTGCCTTCTTTGCAATGGCTGCGGATATTTAGCCAAGTTTTATCTTGTTCTGCCAGCCCCTGAATTCAACAAGTCAACTGCCAGTCAACTGCCTGGCTCCAGTTGTCAAGAGCTTTAGCTTTTGTGCACCTGGGAATCCCTGCTCCTTACGAACATTTGTTAGTTCTAGGTAGCTCTGACTGAACATGCTGGCTGAGGAATTCTGGGAGTTGAAGTCCACCACAAAGTTGCCAAGGTTGAGAAACACTGCTCTATACACCCAGTACCTGAGTGTCTTCCTAACCTAGAATCCAGTGAACATCTTTTCCGCCTCCCAAATTCACTGACAGCCAACCCTTCAGGCATATAGCGGTCATGCCAGTCCAGCAATTGGCATCATGGTAATGTGTTCCCCCAACTGATTTTCAGTGCTGGAGCTCTATGGAGGTTTGGCTGGACTGTTTTTCTGTACATGGAAACTTGCCTCTCCACCTGGCATTTGCTAGGATTTTTTTTTTCTTCCATTCAACCGTGTTTGATTCTCAGAGACTGCCTGGAGAAGTTCCTACAGTTTTCTTGGCAAGGTTTTTCAAAAGTGATTTGCCATTGCCTTCTTCCTAGGGCTGCAAGTGACTGGTCTAAGATCATCTAGTTGGATTTGTGCTTAAGGTGGGACTAAAACTCATGGTCTCTGGGTTTCTATCCTGATGCCTTTACCACCACACCAAACTGGCTCTAGGATAGCCATCCTCAAATTAGCATCCTTTGTGTATTAAATCCCAGCTATCAGAGAACCTGGTTTGAGGCAGCATCTGGAAGGAGCGGCAAGAGGGGTCAGATTGACAGAAGCAGGATGATGGTATCATGATGTAAGGCTTACCTCTTTTCTGACAGAAATTCAAGGCTTCATTGTAATATAAGTCAAGGACTGCCTGTATTTGATCTTTTTCCCTACCCCAGGGGTAGGCAACCTTGGCTCTTTTATGACTCGTGGACTTCAGCTCCCAGAATTCCTGAGCCAGCATGGAATTCTGGGAGTTGAAGTCCACGAGTCATAAAAGAGCCAAGATTGCCTATCCCTGCCCTAGCCCAAACCTTTTGGAGGCTGATCTAGTCCTGAATTTTCAGGACTGTTAACATCACACTTAACTAGAGCCTGGATGTTTTTGCTCTTTTTTCGGTATCCTCCCCTTTTTCTTGTAAGACTGTTTCTCAACTTGGGGAGGAGAATTGCATCCCACATTGACTGCTTCTTCATGCCACCATTGGTATGTGTCCTCCTGGTTGAGAAACCTCGATCTAATGGATTTCACAACCTTATCAGCGAACCCAATCTTAATTCTCCTAGCAAGTTTCACCATACCTCAAAACTGCCCCGCAACATTTTTCCACCTTCTTTAAGAAGTTTCCACAGAAGGGCAGGCATCACCCTACAATATTATGCTGACTTTGAGAATTTATATATGCAGGGGGGAAAATGCATATAAAAGGAGCTTCCCCTAATACCGGTAGTTTAGGGATGTTTTTACACAATGCCCAACAACAAAAGCACACACTGTGTATGGAAAACATGGAGGTGGGTTTAAAAATTTGGGTTTGGGTCAGAGGCAAAGGGGAGTTTGTGACTCCTGGAACTGCTGTAGCTCAGGGCACAGGTCAAGAACAAATGGTATTTTTTGTGCTCACTTTTTGGTTAACTTGAGGGATTGGCCTATGATATTCCTGCCTGTCCTCAGAGTTCCAGGGAAGGGCAACAATCTCAGGTCTGCTTCCAAATTTAATGGGGGTGGGAGGGTGGGATTGGGAAGTAGAATTGGTGCTCTGCGGAAGTTCTGTAAAATTGAGATAGTTTAATCAAGCACGTGTACATCCCATCAAAGTGAGCTACTTAAGTATGCAGAGTACTATTTTATGCATATGATTCTTCAAAACAGCTGCAGTCCTGGGTTCCACCTCCCTCTTATCTCAGAGGTTGCACACAGAAATGGATGAGCTTATGAAGCATAATTGTTAAATCTGAGCCAGCTGCAAGGTGTAAGAATATTGCTTGCATAGGAAAAGATCCAACTGTTCATGTAGGTGGATCTTAACTTTGGCCAGGTTATAACAACTCCATGGTAGTTGGATGCAATGCTTAATACTCCCTATTAATTGCCTTTAGCGTTATGATGTGGGATGTAGTACTGTAGCTGTTGATAAGCTTGATTCAGATCTAAGTTCAGCCAAGCGCTTACTGCTCAGCTTTAGGCAAGTTGCTTAGGCATTCAGCTTTCACCAGCCCTCTATAATCATTAAGGCTATGCAGCAATCCAGGTTCAAAGGTCTACACTGAATTTGTAGCATACGTGGATGTGCACATAGTGTTTGTTGTGAACACCTTTTCCTGGAATTGTGTGTGAGTGAAATTGGATATAAATCTAATAAATAATAGTAAGTAGGATATGTCAGGGTAAGAATATTGGTTATACACTAGCGGGAGGTGGGTTAAATTTAAAAATGGGAGGAACCCCTTTCTCCATTTTTATGAGAACTCAACTGGCTATCAAGAGAGGTCTAGCAGTAATATGGAAGGATGGAGATCTCAAGTCTTCTCTCCTGGGATATGCATATCCTGTCCTCGCCTCTTGCTACTTATAGTGGCTGGGCAATTCTCACTGCTTTCCAAGCAATACCTAATGGATATCTTCACAGTCCTATTATGTGCGTGAAAGGGGATTCTCATCAGCTATTTTGTCTTGCTGGCAATGGCAATCGGGGAAAAAATTAAATTCCATAATGCAACTTGCTGGCCATAGGGAGAAGAGAGAGTGACCTTGAGGGATAGGAGGAAGAGCTGCTACCAAGGCCACAGTCAGATAAAAGAGGCCTCAGTCCAGAGCACGAATGTAGCGTGAATAAATGTCTCAGACAAACCTCTCCCTAGTTCTCAAGAAGATAAAAGGAGGAAGGAGATGTATTCAGAGTTGCAAGATTCTGTTACTGTAACCTTACAATAAAGGTGTGTCTTGGCCTACATGATGTGGGTTTCCTAGTCTGATCTACCTTGAAAGGATGAGATTGGCCTTGTAGCATAGACTCGAGGAATTTCAGCCTTTATTTCCTCCTTTTGAAAAATAGACCAATTTTCAGTAGTGGCAAATATCTGTAGCTTGGGTGTCAAATCAACCACACAGCCAACCAGAGACAGCACCAACCCTCAACTAACCCACGCAAGCCCCCCCCCCCGTCACCAGCAGTTCTAATGTAACCTCCCCATTACAAGACCCATCACAAGCCTCTCACTGATGACTCACACCTGACCCATCACAAGACCCATCACAGACCCTCACTTGACACACCCACACCCGAAGCCCTTATAAACAGAAGAACACTGATACCGACATCCCCTAAACTCTGCTGAAGATGTTACCTAGCCTGGTAATGAAACATTCAGAAACCCACCCACAAGCTCAGAGAACGAACCTTCACCCTCAATAGACCAATTTCACAAAAGATAAACAATAAAAGTTTACTGACAAGAAGTCAAGATAGGATAATAGGTAGTCCTTGTTTAAAAACCATTCGTTCAACCATTCAGAATTATGATGGTGCTGAATGAGGAGGACCAGCTCGCAATTACGATGTCACAGCACTTCAGTCACATGATTGCTATTTGTGACCTTCACTGTCGACTTCTGATGAGCAAAGTCAATGGGGAAGCCAGCAGGAGGTCTCAAATGCTGATTATGTGACCACAGGGCATTGTAACCTTTGCAAGATTCATCAAACAGCAGCAACTGGGACTGCCCGATTCATCTAATGACAGCAACTGGGACTGCCAGAGCTGCTGTCATAAGTCAGTGTGGTCATATGATGTTGCACTATACAACTGTGTCACTTAGCAACAGTTTCCAATTCTAATTACTGTTGGTAAGTGAGGATTAACTATGTACAAACAAACCTCTATTTACTATAAAAAACCTATTTCTTCAATCAAAAAAGAAAAATTTGCTGAGTAAAGTTCTGTGCTCTCCAGTAGACAAAGCAGAAAGGGCCAAGAGGCTAGTTCACTTTTTCTCCAGAAACTCAAGGTCCAGAAGAAGATTCCACTGTACCTCCATAGCAGTAACCAAAGATTGTCTGAAAGAGAGTCACCTGTGAGTTTTTATGGATGATGGTAGAATCAACTTTGGGTCTTCCTGGTTCTAATCTAATTAGACATTTTCAGTTGATCAAAATCCTTTAATATTAATTAGTTTAAGAGATATTGTCTGAAATCACAAATTATGTTAAATCATTATGTGGATTTCTCTCTAAACATATTTAGAAGGTCAGAAAATGTTTATGGTTTGATGCAGAATCACATAAAAAACTAATGCTGAATTATCCAAATTTGAAAATAAAGAATAGGATCTTCTTTTTGAATGTCTGGGCCAAACAAAGGATAAACTCCTTAAGTCAGTTGAATTTTAGTAGTTGTTTTAAATATTCTGAGAGATTGTATTCTGCATATGATTTACCCATAACATCTGTTTGGCGGTATATATCGTTGAAACATGTACTGACAAAACAGCACAATCCAGACACTTTTAGCAGGCTTAGAAGTATCTGGAGTCTTGAGATGCTTAAGAGATGCAGCACTTAAAGTGAACCAAACAATTCAATTTTATATGGGATTTAAAAAATAAAAGGAAGACTAGCTTTAATTACATATCTGTACTGTGGAATGAAGAATTGAAATATCCAATTTTGGAAAAATCAAAGGGTGCACCTTTTTTTAAAAAACTGTAAACATACTTATTATTTTGAAGAACTTAAGAAATTCAATAGAACGTATTATCTTTTATATCTACTGGACTTCTCAAGTAAAGTTTAAAAAAGGTTGGACATTAGATTTTTTGTACTGGCATTATAAATATTTTTTAACATCATTTTGGAAAGAAATGGAATGTAAATGATATATTATATTCCTAAAACAGGGAATTTGGTCTTTTACGAAGAGGTTTGGCTATACCCTAAACCTAGACTTTGGTAAAGATCTTATCTAATTTGAATAAAGCGTATCTTCCTGATATTAAGGAATATCTGTTATCTATTTTTGAAATCTTTTTATTCCCAAAATAAGAAACTGAAGCAATATTTCTCTATATGGTCTAGATTTAATTATAAAACTTGAGGACTGAAATAATCTCATACCAATATGAAATGGATATTACATGCCTTTGGATTTTTTAAAAATAACTCTTTTTATTTTCTGTTCAGTTACATTTAGTTTATTTTCATCATTAAACAACAAACAGAGTTTTTGTAACTGAATAGCCATTAAGCACCCTTTTATGTTGACATTGTACTTCTTTGTATTTCAGTATTTTATCATTTTTTAAATTTAAAAATATCTAAATTTCATAACCTGAAGATGAGCTCAGTTCATCAGAGGCTTTTCCTTTAATATTGATTGCAATTCTGTTCTGATTTTTCTCTTCCCATTCCAGTCTCCATGGGGGCCTGTCAGGGGAACTTCAGTGATCTGTCTGGAGTGATCTACTCTCCGCAGTTCCCACATGACTATGAGGCCAACAGCAACTGCAGCTGGATCCTTTACCCTGCAGGTTGTGATTCTATAGAGCTCAGCTTCCGGATCTTTGATGTGCGTGATCCAAACGACCGCCTGGAGGTCCGGGATGGACACAGCAATCTCTTACTGGCCCAGTTTGATGGGCGCCGAAGGCCGGGCGCACCTCTGCTGTTCCCCACGGACTGTCTTTCCCTCTTCTTCCAATCAGACCAGTTCCTGCAAGCCCAAGGCTTTGCCATCTTGTATCAAGGTAGGCACTGAACCTTGGCTTCCTGGATGATGCTGTCACCTGACTAAAATGTTAGAGGAAAGTTATAGGATGATGTTCCATAGGAGTGCTTTCTCTTTCCCCCTCCCCTTCTTTCTCCCAAGTGGCCCTGCTTACAGAGGGGGACAGGGGAGACCATCTTAGCAAGATGAATGAAGTCAACTTTTTGGGCAATGTAACCACAGATGCCTTTGACCTGCAAGGCGGTGGATAAACACATGTACTGGTGACATCTTGCCCTTGCACTCTGAGCTCTAATAAGTAGATCCTAGATCCACATGTGTTAGGAGTACAGATGGTTCCGTCTTGGAACATCTTTCAGGATTCCTTGAGAAACTCCAGAAATCTATTACCCAAACATTGCTATCTGGCCAAACTCCTTGAATATCAAAAAATGCTTCTTCCCATATCAATCAATCTCTCAATCAATCTCTCAATCAATCTCTCAATCAATCAATCAGTCAATCAATCAATCAATCAATCAATCAATCAATCAATCAATCAATCAGAATAGAGCTGGAAGGGACCTTGGAGGTCTTCTATCCAACCCACTGCTCAAGGAGACCCTATACCATTTTAGACAGGTGCCTGTCCAATCTCTTCTTAAAAGCCTCCAGTGATGAAGCACCCACAACTTCCAAAGGCAAGCTGTTCCACTGATTAATTGTTCTAACTGTCAGGAAGTTTCTCCTTAATTCCAGGTTGCTTCTCTCCTTGATTAGTTTCCATCGTTTCTTGTCTTGCTTTCTGGTGCTTTAGAAAATAAGTTGACCCACTCTTCTTCGTGGCAGCCTCTCAAATACTGGAATACTGCTATCATGTCACCCTAGTCCTTCTTTTCTTTAAACTAGTCCTACCCAGTTCCCGCAACTGTTCTTCATGTGTTTTAGTCTCCAGGCCTTTAATCATCCTAGATGCTATTTTCTGCACTTTTTCCAAAGTCTCAACATCTTTTTTGTAACGTTCCAATTTTTTTTAATTACATTTTTAATTACATTTCTTTTTACATTTAATTATTTTTTTTGTAATATCCCAAAGGGTTAATTGTACGCCAGTTTCTCTTGACATCCCTTTGAATCTTTCTGTAGTCCCAGATCAGTAATCTGTCTGTGACACCAGGGTTCTTTTTAACAGAGATGGCCAGAGCTGATTTTGCAAGGCTGGGAGGCACAATTGTCTCAGGCTTTCACAAGGTATGGTTCGGTCTTTGAAATGATTGATTGGAACAGTACTTTTTATTCTGGTAATGTTAAGATGTAACTGTACATATTCACATTTATAGAGTCACTAATTTCAAAGGGGACTAGAAGCTAAATTGATATATTTTGCATTGAAAAGAAGGTCAGATGGACATTTTGCTGTTGAGCTTCTCAAAATTTTAAAGACACCTTAATCTGGCTCCTTTTGCAGTGAAGTTTTTGCTTGGTTGGCTGATTTAAATTCTTGTATTTTATCCAACCTTTCTCTAAAGCAGCGGTCCACAACTTCCACTAATTGAAAAATGGGTCTCTCTATGGGGAAGACTCTAAGGGTTCAAAGGAGATGCTAATGAGCTGCATTTGTTGCATTTATTGCATCTGTGCAACTTGCCCTTACTACAGCTCTCATCATGGCTACACACACATGCACACAGACAGACAGACAGACAGACAATGCAATAGTCCATGGTAACGACAGGCTAAACTTCATTAATAAATTATTGTTCTCACTAGGCCATGATTACATTCAGAATCACTGTATGTTTATGTCAAATCAATGTAGCAAAATTGGTGAGACTGGTGTTACTGTTTAACATATCAGGAAAGCCTGAGATTTTGATGAGAAGTTAAGCTGAAAATTCACTGTAAAATCCTTCATGATTCTGATTTCCTTCCAGGACTGAAAGCTTCCTCGGTCAACATGCGGACCCTTCCAGGTGATGGATCCCATCTGGCCCCTACCTCTTCTGATTGGCTGAACTCAACCTGGACCTACAGTGCCAATGACTCTGCCATTGGGGTAGGAGGTAAAGGATTAAACTGCGGGGGGGGGGATATTATACTATGAAGCTGTTATATATTATAGCAGGGGTCTTCAAACTTGGCCCTTTTATGACTTGTGGACTTCAACTCCCAGAATTCCTCAGCCAGGCACGCTGGCTGAGGAATTCTGAGAGTTGAAGTCCACAAGTCATAAAAGGGCCAAGTTTGAAGACCCCTGTGTTATAGCTTGACTGGCTTTAGGCAAAACAGATTCTTTGACACTGTAGTTTTGCACTGGACCAAGGAGCCCTTGGAGCCATTCTAGTTATGCCTGCCAAGAAAACCAGGGTGCCATTAAATTTACAATATTTCAAAGAGTGCAATTTGAAGTTAGAGAATACATTTGCAAGATGAAATGTACTTCATTCTTTTTCCTATCTATTTCTTTCTTCTGAATCTAGGGTGAGCCAACTGTATGTACCACTGGTTGGTATGCATCTTCAGACTCATTGTTTTTAGGAGAATCCCCAAATCACGGAGCTTAAAACTGCCCCTGCCTGATTTTGCTCCCAAAATATGCATAATAGATGAGGCATACAAAGGTTTAGTCCCCTTTTTTGCATTTTTAAATCCTTCCAGACTTGGAAAAGGGGTTTCAATCCCATCTTTGGTAATAGTATATAGGCGTGGTTATATATACCTCCCCTATCCTTCAGGAGCAGAAAGAAATTTAAGGGTCATCCAGAGCTAAAAATGTTGCCTATCCATCTTCTTCCTGTCATAATTTTATTTTTATTCAAAAGCAAGATAAAATACAAAATTCAAAAAAAATCCAAAAAAGGAAAAAAAATGCAATACAATAAAGATATTTAAAAAGTGCATAAAAAAGAATAGGAAAAAACCCCAACACATGTACACATATTAACCCTCCCTTTACTGAATACCAATTAATACATCCTATCCATCTTCTAAGTCAGTGTTTCTCAATCTCAGCAACTTGAGGATTTGTGAACTTCAATGTCCAGAACTCCCCAGACAACAGCACTGGCTGGAGAATTCTGGGAGTTGAAGTCTATACATCTTTAAGTTGCTGAGATTGAGAAATACTGTTCTAAGTGTCAGAAGTAAGTCTTCATCCTGGTTCATCCAAGCCGGGAATAAATAAGCAACATGGCGACTGCTTTGGGAAGATGGTTACAGTTTATTGAAGAAGCAGAAACATGGTTCTTGCAGGAAGGACCAGAGGAGAGAAGGGCCTGAGCACATGGGCAAGGGGGTTTTATACCCTCTCTAGCCTTTTGTTTGGAATAGTTTCCTGTTCCTCTGGCATGAACTTTGAGGCTATTTCCTGTGTCACGTATTCTGACCTGAGTCTAGGTGTGCCTCTCTGGTATAGTTGATGGTAATGGGTTAGTCCTATTATGTCCCAAAAGTCATATCCTGCTTCCCTGGGGCTGGGCTAATGACTCTTAGAATTTGGGTGAGGTATGCAGATTTTAGGTCTTTGTCTTCTGGCTCCAGCTTTCCTGATAGTTTTACATCTGCATTTGTATAGGGCTGGCTCCTGCTGGAGACAGAGATTTGGGGGCAGAGAGATTTGGTTTCTGCTTTTAAAAAATGCTTTTAAAAATCCTTTTGAAGAAAAATATATTTTCCTGCCCTTTTAATATTTCCTTCTCTGGGGGGCTCTGACTTCCCACAATTCCCCCCTTTGTGCCTTAAGTGTGTGAATGTATGACACACTTATTGGCACAAGATTAAAATTGATCTGGTCAGGGAAACTTGGTAAACAAGCTTTAAACTATTAAGCCAAAAAATAAGACATTAATGGAGGCAGCAGAAAAAGATCCCTTCAGTGGCTCCCAAAAGGGGAGCTGGCAACCCATGAAGTTCTAAAAGTCAAGGAAAAATTGTTATGTGTAAAAGAAATTTATAGTGTCCAATATTCTGTGCCAATCATTTTCAAATGTTGGATGTCACTTTTAGCTTCCAGTCAGGTTTGCACATTCCTCCCAAAACTCTTCACAGCCATGGTTTGCCTTAGTACATAACCACTGGCTGCCCATTTTCAAGGGTTGTGTCCTGCCTTAGCTCTTAGTTCAGTGCATCCAGGTTAGTAATGTCCAATTAAGGTTCGCCAGTATGCCAGGCTATTAAATTTTTCTTAAATTACACACAGTGAGCTCTAGGAATCCCAATCTGAGCCCACCAGTGCAAGATATTCAGGGCTGAGGTTTGGGGATCTCTATCCAGCTACTTCCTTAGTCAGGGCATAAGAATTGCAAAACTGCCTGAGGGGGCCTGGTTCCCTCCCCCTTGGAATTTGCTGGCAGTTGTTCCTACAAAGCTTTGGTGCAATAGAGCAAAAATCAGCCTGGGGAACTTTACTAAAGGTAGGTGAACACCAGACAGAAATCCAAGGTGTTCAGTACTTGCTGTGCCAACTATTCCCAAATACCATCTCTTCATACTGTAAATACATTCAACTGGCTTGTTACAATACAAATGGGGCAAGAAAACTTTACAATGACTTTCCACCCTCCCCCCATAGTCTTTCTAGTTTTCTTTTCTGAGGCTTCACATGGGGACCAGTGGCTCTAGGACTCCTTCCTTCTGCAGCTCTCACAGGCATCTGGGGGAATGGTAGGACTTGGGAAGATGTTCCACTCAGATTGCATGGTGGCTTTTTAGTGGATGGCTGGATTCAAAACCCAATTCCATGGCTCAAATGGATGGAGGCAGCATCTGGGTCTGTGTGTTCTGCTTCCAAAGGTTGGGGGGGTCATCTATGAAGGGCTGAAAGACATGAGAATAAGATTCTGCCCCCCCTTTCTGGGTGGACTCTCCCAGGAGAGGCAGACAAAAGGTATGGAGAACAAGGGACAAGAAAAAGAGAAGTACATGAGGGTGGGGGGGGTAGCTTGCAGGCAGTTTGAAAAGGCATCAATATTACAGTGGTCAAAGAAACAGATAGGCAGACAAATGGGGATAATCACAGATGAGGACAAGAAAAACCTGGATTCTGGTAAGAGAACAACAAAATGAAATGTTTCACTTTTGAACTTGAACATTTGCAACATATTAAGGACAAGGACTTGCAACTTGAAGAAAAAAAAATGCTAGGCAGCTTGAGAATGCTGAAAGCTCCAAATAATTTTAAAAGCCTAATATTTTAAGGTATGCAATTTTACAGGGGCAGGAGAATCTGCCTTCAACATTTATTCTAAAATAGACCACATTGTTTTAGAGATTGATGCTTATATGTTTCAGGAAAGCTTCATAGTAGTTTCACCAATTAGTGATAGGATAAAAAAAGTAACTTAAGAAAATTATTTCCCCACACAAGCAGACTTGAGCTTCAAAAGGCTCTTGTAGATAGACACACATTTTTCAGGAAAAGGATAGATAGATAAAACCCATTTAGAACACAAACTCATTTACAACACATTGCAGAATGATTTTCCAGAGCTTGGGGCAGGACCCAGCAGGCAGGACACCCCCTCCTCACTCCAAAGAGAAAATATCTTGGCAAATACAAGAAGGACCCAATACAAACTAGTCTGACTCACAAACACTTAACACACACTGGCTATAAGGAATGCACACACTGGCTAACAGCAATTAGGATTGACAGGATTAGAATAGAAACACCAAAAGGTACACAACAATAAAATAATTTAACACTGGATTCCCCCTGGAACAAAAATTAACACCTTTTAGACAGAATTGAGAAGGAAAT